CTTACCCTTGTAAAGGTACAAAGCAAATATTGCTCGTGAAGCCCCGAAGATGGTTTTAAGACAGTTTGTGAATTTTTATTGACACAGAAGGTGGGTCAAACGCCAAATATATTAACCCCTCTCCATTCTTACTTAAGAATAGCAGATGTACTTAGCACAGCATCCTCACTGAACCATACTCTTGCCTACTGTTCAACAATACAAAGAAAACTATTTTAGTTATATACCATTGGAAAAAAATAGTAAAACCAACGTATTAAAGGATAAGAGTGAAATGAGATTTAAAGTTCTAAAGATCACCTCACAAGATATTACTAAACCAAAAGCTATGTTAAGTATTGAGGATTTAGCATCAGCTGGTAAACATTATTTTGGTAGAGGTCTCCCTTTTTACACAGATCACTTACTGGGACTCTGATTCCTAGTCTTGTCTATTCCTTGCAAATGTGTCCTTTATTGTACATTAAGTTCCTGGAGCCAAAGAATGCCTATAAATAAGCATATGCAGCACATATTGAAACTTGGGATAGTCAGATCTCCTCTCAAGGGCAGGACCCATCCTAAACATAGGTATATAATGCAAAACTCTTGAAGTAGTCTAGTAGTAGTAGTAGTAGTAGTAGTAGTAGTAGTAGTAGTAGTAGAAGAACACATTATAAATTTATCAGATCATTTTTTTGCAGTTTGTATCTCCAGGAAAAAAAATAATATATCCAACAACAAAGAACAAAGAACGGAATTCTGAGGAGAAAAAGCCTTCAGAATTATGAGATAATTTTAAATGGGTAAACAAGGCCATCAGTAATCTGAATGAGATGGCTAGACATACATCTCCTAGTCTTTTACATTTGAACATAATACTATTAGGTCCACTTAAATGACTGTGCCTTATATTTATAATAATGTTCTTATCTTCCCCTCCTGAATAAGACTAGGGCACCCTGAATAAACTTATCAAAACACTTGTAACTTTAGAATTATCTTTTTACTAGATAGGATTTAATAATACTTTACCTATCATACAGCTTTAACTCCTGCATTTAGCAGAATGCCTAAAACTATTCTCAACATATTTACTTATATAATGAATTGTTTACATAAAAAGTTACCAAAATTTAAGCATAATGCTGAAATCGAAGTTGCACCACCATATTGATGAAGTCTGTGGTTTAAAGTTATCCTAATATGTGTGGTCGTTCTTTTTTAAATTGTGATATAATACCGTGAAACCTCATGGTAATACATCCTGTAATAATGTGAATTCTGATCTTATGTAGTTGGTGATTGCCTCCTGCCCTCAGGCAAATTAAGACTAGAATTATTTTATTCTAACAGTCACTGATAGTGTCACACAAAAATGCTGCTGTTTCCACTGCCACTACAACCACATTTAACTAAATGTATAATTGAAATACACTTGAGATCTTTCCAGGATATTGTTTTTTTGTCTTTTTCTAGCATACTCAACAATATTAAATACTGATTAAATGCAATAAATTATGTGTTTAAATAAGCATCGACAGCCTAATAGGTAGCATCGGCTGAGGAGGAGATAAAGGTAGTTTTCATCACCTTTTACTCCAAGCTGTACATCTTAGTCTGCCTTCAGATTTTTCTTAATGTTTCTTCCAGGTAATTTTAGGAAGTGTAGTATTGAATATTGTATGTTGCCAAATTCTACATTTCCAAATTCAAATGTCACTGGAATGGGGCAACACAGAGCTACAGAAAGAACGATATCCTTGGATAAGGTTAGTAAAGTTTTATAATGGAATGAGATAAACCTTAACATATTTAAATAAATTCAAATAATTTAATTACAGAAAAGGACCATTTCATCTAGTTGTTATCAAATCTATCTGTGCATCAGAATCACCCAAGCAGCTTGTTAGAAAGCATAGATTCCCAAGTCAAATACACAGCAATTGTGCTTGCACATGTCTGGGTGAGGTGCTAGAATTTGTCATTTTAACAAGCACCCTAGGTGATTTTGATATCCAGCCAAACATTCTGGAATCGCTGATCTAGTACAATGCCCTACAGACAGCAATTACATTTAATTCATCTCTGTATTCCTAGCTGGATCAGCAAAGTGCCATGCATATAGCAGGTGCAAGATTAATGTCTGCAGGAGATACAGCAGGAAGTTGGTACAAAGAGAAGTTCTGTGACTTGTGGAAGGCCCTCCAGTTAAGAAGCGTTGGAAACCACTTCTTATTTGGCCCAGCAATGGAGGGACAAGGGGTTCTGGATCCTCTTTTAACCATCTTTCCAAACAAGTATACTATATTACATCATCCAAAATTGGTCTCATGAGGTTATAGTAAGCACATGCAGTTGTATATGTTCAACGGTATGTTGCAGGTACGATTCCCATCTCATCTTGCAAATTTCAATATAGCAGCTTCTCTAATAGGTGTTATAAAAATATTTCTAACCCTTGCCTGCTTCAGTGCTTTAATATACGAGTTTAAGTAGCTTAAAAGTACATTGTGTAGTTAAGTTCCTTGAAGACAGGAAACAAAATGTCATGGACATCATTATTACTTTCACTTCTCTCATCTACCCCCTAGAAAGTTTGTGGCCAGTTATCAAAACTGCAGGTATTAGATGACTTTTACAATGTCCTTTTGATCTGCTGTACTAGAATTCAATTACATTTCCAAATAAGTTCTCAGTATTAAGAGAGGGTAATGCAATGGGATTCTCCAGTTATTGCTCAACATTTTAGAACATGGCTACCAATTTTCCGGAAGGAGGAGGAAGAGGGAGAGGAAAAGGAAGGGAAGGGAAGGAATAATAAGAATCCCTAAGTTGCAGACTCTTCACCTTCGTTTGCATTATCTGCCATATGACACACCACATGGGTCTCATTTCCAAGGGCATTTAGAAAGTTGTGAGTCAATTTTCCCAAGAGTTAATACAATACCACTTATTTGGGGGGATTTTTAACCTCTCAGAAAATACCCTGAATCTTAGTTGTTAAGCCCTAAGAAAAAGACCATATTACTGTAAATGAATGTTATTTGATAACTTCTCTCATTTTCTTCATCAATATGAATGACACTGACAAGCCCCTTTAACCAAGTGATAGTGCCATAAGCATCTTACACTAAAGGGCTGTAAATGGGCAGTGGGAAAAGTGGACTTTAATAAAACAGCTATGCATTGCTGCAGAAACCGTTGAGAGAATATCTAACTTGAAATGATTTAACTCTTAAACATATGAAGGATTTTTAAATGCACTACAGTCATATCAACCTCTAGCATACATGATGAGCATGAAAATACCTTTTCTCTAACTTGTATGCTGGTTCGTGGGTGTGCGATTGGGAAGGGAGTTAGAGTTGCAGGGTTAATAGATAACTTCAGTTGCCTAGAGTAGTGTATTTTTCACATTTTCCCTTTTGTTGTTAATTGTAAACTTTGTGAATCAGTTTTCCCTTTAAATTTCTTAGGTAAAAATCAACCCAAGGCAGTGATTAAGAAAAACTGAGAAAATTTAATTCAAATCACTTGAGCCAAAGCTCAAGGCAGTGAAGTAGGATGGAAACTGAGGAAATGCTACAGGTGATCATTGCGGGATGAAAGTAAGAGGGGATGGTTGACGGAAAACCTAGTTTACTTCTCAGGTTAGTAACTAGCTCTGCACCAGCCAAAGAGGTTGTTCTCCATTAAACGGTCCAACTCAGATCATGCCTTGCTTTCTATGGCTCAGATATAAAGAGTTTCTACCATTTAAAGTGAATACCATCATATGTGTTCTCCAGTTGGTCTGTGTGTACTTCAAATGACTATTTCCTTTTTAACTCATTAGTAAGCTTCTGAATGGTTATTTTCACGTTTTTAAAATTACCTCAAATATATAGCGATAGACTCAGGTGGTCAACCCATCACATATAGATTGAAATAGATTATGAAGTTTAAAGTTCTATGAGTGTTTTTCCTTTTCACTGTCACTCCTGAGCCCAGATTACACTCTAGCTATTCTATTGCTACACTCATAACACGTTATTCCCCTTTTTTGTCTACCTGTGTATTTCTTTTAGACCACCAGTCCACAACCTTTTTGGCATAAGGGACCCATTTTGTGGAAGACAGCTTTTCCAAGGATTGAGCGGGGAATGGTTTCAGGATGAAACTTTTCCACCTCAGATTATTGTGCATTCGTTAGATTTTTTTTTTTTCTTTTGAGACATAGTCTCACTTCTTCACCCAGGCTGGAGTGCAATGGTGCCATCTCAGCTCAGCTCACTGCAACCTCCACTTCCCAGGTTCAAGCAATTCTCCTGCCTCAGCCTTCCAAGTAGCTGGGACTACAGGTGCCTGCCACCACACCCAGCTAATTTTTGTATTTTTAGTAGAGATGGGGTTCCACCATGTTGGCCAGGCTGGTCTTGAACTCCTGACCTCAAGTGATCTACCTGCCTCAGCCTCCCAAAGTGCTGGGATTACAGGCGCATTCGTTAGATTCTTATAAGGAGTGCAATCTACATTCCTTGCATGTGCAGTTCACAATAGGGTTCACTTCCTATGAGAATCTAATGCTGCCACTGATCTGACAGAAGGCAGAGCTCAGGCAGCAATGCTTACTTGCCCATGGCTCACCTCCTGCTGTGTGGCCCAGTTCCTAACAGGCCATGGACTGCTACCCATTTGTGGCCCAGGGGTTGGGGACCACTGTTTTAGACTACAGTTGTTTTAAGGTCAGGGACGATGTCTTATTTACCATTATATACTCCATAGTACTTGACATAGGAGCTACTCAGTAGATTTATGTTCTATGTGTAGGCATGTCAGAGTTGCACCAAATGTGAACTTGGGGAAATTGTATTTGCTTGAGTAAAAAAAAAAAAGTTGAATCTACTTTTGTCTTCACTGACTTAAAGAGGTCTGAATTGTATCAAATAGTATCAAAATACTACAGTATTCACTTGTCATTTTCTTGCCATTTTACTCAAATTGGTTTCAAAATCCTATTTTCTTCTGCTTTATTCTAGAATTGAACAATGCCACAAAAACATTCTTTACTAAAGAATATTTGAAAATAAAACAAAGCTTTCAGAAATCCAACTCTGCAAAATGGCCCCTACCAAGCTGCAGAAAAGCATTTCATCTTTTTGGAGGTAAGGAAATCTAATGCCAAAAGAAATGTCTGGTAATTTTGTCTAAGGTCTCTTCTTAAAAGTAACTTCCTCCTGTCTCAGAAATATTAGAGGAAATATATTTCTGTACTAATCAATTTTAAATAAGGATTTTGCTAAGTATCTCCTTGCTGAAAACTACAGATGTACAAAGGAAGAAAATGAAGACTATACAATAAAAGCAAATTCGAAGACTCATGACTAAATAGACTTTGCCATGCTTTCACTGTTTAGTACATAGATAATGAAAATATGTCTCAAAAGTATCAGATTTGACAAAAGTCATATTTATGGTGGCTGCGGCCCATCTGGAGCGGCTGCTACTATGAAGCCAGCTGCAGTCGGGGAGGCGTAGCCAGGGCTGCACACTCCACAGAGCAGGTGGGAGCCACGAACAGGCGGGAGCCCTGCCCACTTCCAAGTTGACAGGGTGGGAGCCCTGCCCACCCAGGCAAAGTTGCAGCCACCCAGCCATGGCTGCGGACCTGGACATCCCTGTACTCTTGGGGACTGTGGAAGCCCCCTTGCCCCTGAAGGCTCAGAAACGCCCACTCCTGCTGCTGGGCCTCTCCATGCTCCTGGCACCCACTCCAATTTCAGAGCAAAGTTGAGGCCAAGCCCAGGCATTGTCACAACCCAGCCAGGTGTGCACATTCTCAGGGCAGTGCTGACATGCCAGCCCTCTGCTGCCTTGGCCCACTCCAAACTTTGGGTACTGACAAGCATGGGAGGAAGGCTGAGGGCAGCTCAGCACAACCTGCAGGCACCTCTTGGCAAGAATAGCTTGGGCACTGTGGGCACCATGGATGGCAGGTTGATGGTGGCAGGAGGTAGACAGGCTCCTGGGCAGAAAGGGGACAGGTCCCTGGTAAAGCCCCACCTTCAAACCTGTAGACTGGGGGCTGGGCTGTCAGTTCTATGGACCAGAGTGAGAACTTATGGTGCTTTTTCCAGGACTGCCCATGGCTACCCATGAACCAGTCAGTACACACTTCCTCCCCTCTTTAGCCCATAAAACCCTGGACTCAGCCAGACTCAGGCAGACAGTGAGACAGCCTACCTGCCAATACGACCTGCCTGCAGCTAGGAGCTGCCCACTCTGAGTCTCCTCTCCACTGAGGGCTGTAGAGACGGCGGGACAATCTGCCTGCGGATAGGAGCTACCCACTGTGGGTCTCCTGAGATCTGTTCTGCCACTCAGTGAAGCTCCTCTCCACCTTGCTTACCCTCCAGTTGTCTGCGTACCTCATTCCTCCTGAACGTGGGACAGGAACTCAGGACCTGCTGAGTGGCAGGACTAAAAGAACTGCAACACAATAAGGGCTAAAACACACCCCTCTCCCCTGCTCACCACGTTGAGGGTGACAAGACAAGAACAGCTGCAGCCCTTTGGGGAGCCCAGAGGTAGAGAATCCCTGAGCCAGGGCTGTGACACCCTCCTTGGGGTTCTGCAGTTCCTGGAGTTTCCAGGCTTCCAGGCACCACTGTGTTTCCCTAGTCCAGACTTGGGTGCCCACAGCAGAAGCCACATGAAGTATATCGCATCCAGCCGCAGCCTAACACAGAGCCAGCACCTGGAGCTCCCTGCCCCGCCACAGCAGCCAGCATGCCTGGCTGTGCAGAGTGGCTGGACCTCGCGCTCACTCAACCACACACCCCTCGCCATTCTGCACCTGGCTTGCGCTTGGCAGATGTGGGATCTGAGCCGGTAGTAAGAGCCAAGCACAGCCTGCCAGACCAAGTGGGAGAACTAGCCCAGCAGGCACAAGCAATACTCAGGCAGAAGATGCCGCCAGCTACAGAGGTTTCTGGCTGGCGAGGTGTCACCCTAGGGATCCTGTGACAATATTTAACAAAGGCACTAGTACTGTGTATAAAGATTCCTAATAATGCATTCATTAGCAGAAGCTAAGTTTATTTAGTTTTAATATTTTATAGTTGTCCCACAAGTTTAGAACGAATAGAAAGTAACAGAGCCTTGGTGGCAGGGTGTCTTAGAGATGTGCAGTGGTTGAGGAATACCACTTTCTGGCTTTAGGTCTAAGTATCAACATGACTTCAGAGGTGTCATAGGATCTTTTTTTTGATCTGTAAAATAGGAATAATTATTTCTTCCCCACCTAACTAATAATGTGAAAGTACTTTCTAAATTATAACTAAATTAACTATAAAAATATAAGGAATAAAGGTAATACAGTATCTAATACCTTTTTCTGCTTTGGGAATTTGTTACTGTATGAACATACAATATGGACATAAATATAATTTCATCTTTTATAAAACCATAGTTTATCAGAGCATGAACTACTGTGCAGTTTTCATTATTTAACAATTATGACATTACGGGACCTGGTAGAAAAGTCCAGATATGAGGAACTGTGATCTTTAGGAAACAGGAAGAACTTCTGCATAAGACCAACAAGATCAGTACAGCAATAACCTACACCAAAATGAGATGGAAGCAGAGCCCCTATGATTGTGGCAAAATAAAAATTGGTGCATGAAATTGGTACTCTCAAAGAAAGTAACATAAGAATATAACTTTACACAGCGATTTGAATGAATAAAAGTTTAAGGACATTATATAAGGACATACTACTTTATAAAGTGGTAACTGTAAAAATTTAATATCTAGAGATTTGGTACAGATAGGTTTTATTATTTATTTTTTCTTCACTTATTTTATTTTTTTGAGACAAAGTCTGGCTCTGTCGCCCAGGCTGGAGTGTAGTGGCACGATCTCGGCTCACTACAACCTCTGCCTCCTGGGTTCAAGCAGTTCTCTTGCCTCAGCCTCCCAAGTAACTGGGATTACAGGCGTGTGCCACCATGCCAAGCTAATTTTTGTATTTTTAGTAGAGAAGGAGTTTCGTCATGTTGGCCAGGCTGGTCTTGAATAATGAATGACCTCAGGTGATCCACCCGCCTTGGCCTCCCAAAGTGCTGGGATTACAGGTGTGAGCCACTGTTCCCGGCCATAGATAGGTTTTAAATAGGTCACATTTAGCCCCCAAAATATGAAATCAAATATAAGAAAACTAGTCCTAAAGGATTCATACCAAAGAAAAGAAAGTTTATCATTTTAAGCGTGTTCTTTAAAACAGTCCCTTGTATTCTACCTTCTACGCTACACCCAAAGTTTTAAAAGAATGGAGTACCTTCTGGATAACTCCACACTTTCCCTTGTCTTCTTGTATTCTGAGGTAATACAGAAGCTATAATTTAAGCAGTTGCTTCTTTGTGATTTCATCTTACTTGTCTTCCCCATAGGAGTTCCAAAGAACTTAAGTTTTTAAATGTGTGTTCATGGAGGAGGTTCAAAGTAGCATTATTACACCACCCAACATAAGAAATACATATATTCTACCAGGAGCTCAGCTGAGCTGGGCAAGAGCTGAGTTATTAGGTGTCTGGAGTAGCCGATTAAAGTATCAAGCCAAAAATGAAAGAGTTAAGCCTTTAATCATTTACTGCAATAGTGTAAGCAAGAATCTAAAACCAGAGGAAATGCTGACTCCTCCTGTTCAGTTTTCTCATGCAATAGTGCACACTGGTCAGGGCCACATAGAGCAGGGCAGAAGGAAGGATTCACTCACTATGGAGAATGTCCCAAACAAAAGGCTCCAGCAGTTTTTCAGACCCTGAGGTCAGGAGGCATGGCAAAGAGGAAAGGCTAGGAGTGGGAAAGCACTGGGCACTGAGTCAGAGTGGAGAAGAGTGTTTCCCCCTCTCCAACCTCCGTAAGAAAACCTTTGTAGAGGCACAGAAGGAACTCTGTCCAAGCCCTCAGGTAACTATAACTAGTAACGAAGTGCTGGGAATACAAATATAAATATGTGAAAGTGTATATGCAGCCAGGGGAGCCTGAACTGGACTGCAGCTCCCTTCAGAGATTGTAATGCACTGGTTGTACAACAAATCTGACTTTTCCCCATGAATCCTGCCAGATAAAGCCTTTGTAATGGTCTGTTGAGGCCTAAAAAAAATCACACACAGGATTTTAATCAGGAACTGGACTCCTCAATTACCAGTATTATTGAAGTACCTTCTGTAGTTCTATTTTGTTTACCCTGATTCCCCTGAATTTTGTATTATTTCTTTGTATAAGTATACATATGTACATTTAATCATGTTATTTAATTTTGCTTGTCTTTTAACTTTTATAATGGTAGCAATGTATATATTCTGCTTTGCTTTGTCATTCAATATGAAATTCATCCATTTCAGTAAGTGTGGCCACATTCTTTTTACTTCTACACTGTAGTCAATTATGTGAAAATACCCCAACCCAACTTATCTATTCTCTTTTTGATGAAAATTGAGTGGTCCAATTTTTATTATAGAGTGTTGCTATAAACACTCTTGTGATACTCCCAGAGCATAAGAGTTACTCTAGAATAAATGCCAGGTAGAAACTGGCTGGGTCATAGGAAAAGCATGTCTTTAACTTCATCAACTAACCAAAACCGTTTTCCTAAATCGTTGTGATGATTTATCACCAGCTTTGTCTACCACATTTGATATTTTCAGTCCTTTAAATTTTACTAATTTGATAGGTATAAAATGATATCTCATTGGGGTTTTAATTTCCATTACTGTGATTGTTGATGGGGGTTGAACATAGCTTTGTAGGTGTACTGATCATTAAATTTCATCTGTGAAATGCCTTTTTATGATTTTCTGTTGGTTGTATTTTTTGTTGTTGTTGTTTGAAAGTGTTAAAATATTTTCTAGTGACTTTTTTTCTGTTAATTATATGAATGGCAGCTATTGTCTCCCAGTTTGTGGGTTCTTTTTACTTTGATATATTTTAATGAATTGTAGTTCAATTTCTTCACCATCTTTCTGGTGTGTACTTGCTTAAGAATTTCTTCTCTTTCCCCAAGGTCATAAAGATATTTTCCTATGTATTTTTCAAATAGTTTCAAAGATCTTTGAAACCGATTTGTGCTGATTTTTTTTTAATTGATTTACTTTCTTTG